AAGAAATTTGATCAATAAATTAGTAAATTCAGAGTGAGGAGGGAGTAATTAACAGGCCCATTAAAAGTGTGGAATACATTAAATACAGAATGAGTGACTCTACCGGGACCACTGAAGCAGGAAACACCAATGCATTTGAGAGGCCTGGAAGATTAGAAACATATTTCAACAAGAAGAAAATAAGAGAGAGAAGGGAGAGCCCAGAATGATAAAGATGCCAAAGGGGGTATGCATCAGAGCCTTTCCAGCCTTGGATTTTGAAATTCTCTGAAAGGCTTAACCAAATTGCACCTGTGCACTTGTATATCTCCCAGGCCCAGGAAACAAGTAATCTGCTGTGAGAGCTATCCAGGCCACACTGGTCCTTAGCAGTTAATATGTCAGACCCTTCCCATCAGAGTAAACAAAAGGTATACCCCAAGTCAGTTGGAGCTGAGGCAGACCTCACTGGTCCAGAATAATGCCATTTGAATGTCCTGATAGTCTGTAAAAAATCCCCTGCCAGGAAAACTGAGCCCAAAGCAGACTCTATTGCTAGTTCAAGCCAGAGTTGAGGACTATAAGACACTTGGTTGATGAAAGTCAATTTCTGGGGCAATTTACTATTGAGGGCAAATAAAAGGCTGACCTACCTCATGCCTGCACACTGAACACATTCTTCACAAGAGGTGGGGCATGAAGGAAACCAAGTGTATGACTAATAGCATAGCCATAAAGGTATAAATTGCTGCTAAGATGAGCCAGGATATACCTAAGCTTTAGTTACAAGCATGGGAGGCTCCGTTAAATGTCATATCTCTTGCATTCAGGTTGATTTCAGAGTTCAGTTCTTCACTTCACCCCCAAGTGAATCCCTTGGGGCTTATGTTGGCAATGTACATCTTAATTGGATCAGCCAGCTGAAACTGGTTTGGCTCAGTGGATAGAGCATTGGTATGCTGACTGAAGGGTCCCAGGTTCAATTCTGGTCAAGGGCATGTACCTTAGTTGCAGACACATCCCCAGGTGGGGGTGTGCAGGAGGCAGCTGGTTGATGTTTCTCTCTCATCGATGTTTCTAGCTCTCTATCCCTCTCTCTTCCTCTCTGTAAAAAAAAAAAATCAATAAAATATAATAAGTAAATAAATAAATAAATAGGATCAGCCATGTGTATGAGTCATTGTGATCATTCTTTTAGACCTGGTGGAGAACTAGACCTTGGCCAAGGACTGTATCAGAAGCAGTCCTCTTTGGCTTCTCTGCCTTCTTATAACATACCTTGAGACTTCTATGAAACTTCATAGCTTATCTTCCACTAAGGCAGCTCAGCCTAACCCCATGAAATTCATTCTAGATTAGTGAAGCAGGGAAGTGATTTTTGCTTTCTATAGAGCCCTGGTACCCTGAGACCATTAAGAAGACTTTTCAAACGTGGGGAACCTAACTCTGATATCAGGGATGGAGCCCAAAATTCATTTCAGAAGACCTCAGAGGTGTCTCCAAAATTCTCTGAGCTTAATTTTCCTCACAGGAGTATCAGAGCCCAGGCTTTAGCCTATAGAAGAGTTGGTAGGAGGTTGCCTGTTTGTTTTGTCATTTCCCTCTGCCAGTTTTCATCAGGCCTTCCTCATTAGCTGGATGAGAAGGTTTACAGAGATAAACCAGAAGCTGATTCTCTCAGGCACTGTTTTAGTTCTAGTACTTCCCCTGGCTTTGAGCATAAAAGTGCCTCCAAGTATGAGGTGACTGGACACACATTTGGCTGATATCTGCCTATGAAGACAGAGGGCTGAAACCACTTTTCCTAGAACATCCCTAAAGCAGTCAAGTCAGCACTGCCTGTAACAACAGACTTTCGTCCTAGCCAGGCACACATCCCACTGCAGAGCTTGGAGATGAATTCTTAGTCTAGACAGCCCTTCCAACCTGCTGGTCAAGACTTTTCTGTCATCACAAGTGGCTTACATGGTCCTCCAAGCACAAGGTCACAAAAGGTATTAAGCTGCAAACTCCCAGACTCTAAGAGGAAGGCAGAAGCTTGCAGGTCATGCTTTCTATACTCTGGATTTCAACATCTCAGGCTGAGAGGCACCTTTGAACACCTCTACTGGGAGCAAACTCTGCACCCCATGGGGCAGCAGCCCTTCAACTCTTGAACAGCTCTAATGGTTAAAAGAGCTGTTCTTTTAACCAATCCCCATCTGCCTCCTTATATTTCCTATGGAGCTACATGGAATGTCTGCCGACCCTGCCATCTGATGCTATCACCATTCGTGCACTGTATATTTGCAACTACACCAGATGGTTTGTAAGGGCATGAACCATGTATCCTGCTTTTTATGCATCCCCGTAGCATTGGTGATCTCTGGATTTATTTTGTTCATCAGGTTTTTTTGTTTTGTTTTTTGTTGTTGTTGTTGTTTGTGTTTTTTGCTTATTTGTCTATCTGTTTTTATTGTTTTTTTTTTACAGAGAGAAAGGGAGAGGGATAGAGAGTTAGAAACATCAATGAGAGAGAAACATCAATCAGCAGCTTCCTGCATACTCCCTACTGGGTATATGCCTGCAACCAGGTACATGCCCTTGAGTTGAAGTGAACCTGGAACCCTTGAAGCCACAAGATGATACTTTAGCCACTGAGCCAAACCAGTTAGGGCTGTTCATCAGGGTTTTTTTTTTTCTATTTTTTAATTAATCTTTATTGTTCAGATTATTACAGATGTCCCTCTTTTTCCCCCCCATAGCTCTCCTCCAACTGGTTCCCACCCTACCACAGGCCCTAACCACCCTATTGTCTGTGTCCATAGATAATGCATACATGCATATAAGATCTTTGTCTAATCTCTTCCTGTACCACCCATACCCCCTTCCCTCTGAGAATTGTCAGTCTGTTCCATTTCCATGCCCCTGATTCTATTCTATTCAGCAGTTTATTCTGTTCATCAGATTTTTTATTCATTTGATTTTTAGATTCAATTGTTGATAGATAAGTATTTGTTGTCACTTTGTTGTTCATATTTTTTTATATTTACCTTTTTATTCTTCCTCCTCTTCTTAAAGAATACCTTTCAACATTTCATATAATCCTGGTTTGGTGGTGATGAACTCCTTTAGCTTTTTCATGTCTGTGAAGCTCTTTATCTGACCTTCAATTCTAAATGATAGCTTTGCTGGGTATAGTCTGGCTTTTGAATCTCCAGGGAGGTGCAAAGTCCGCCACTGCCTGGGGCCATCCAGCAGGAGCTACAGAGAGATATGAAGATTCTTCCATTTTGTAACAGGTTTGGAAGTACCCAGATGAGGCCCAGCTGTGAAGCAAGACAGGCTGGTGGTGGTGCCGAGCCTTGGGCCTTTTTTGATAGGTTTGGGGCTCCCTGACCCAACTGCAGCTTGTTTGACAGGTTTTAGTCTAAGAAAGGACAGGCCATTCATATGCAAAATCCACTGCACACAGCTTGGGTGGGGTTATAAATTGGGTGAGGCTGGGTCTCAGGGAATCACCCGGGTGAAGCAAACAGAAATGGCTGCCAGTTAGCCCTGCACTAGGGAGATTCCAGCCTAGGAACAATGACCACTGTGAGCACCTTCATCTGGAAGAAAGCCACCTTCGAGTTCCTGCCCTGATGTCAGACAGTCCAATTTCTCCCTGTGTGTGTCCAGTTCCCCCAAAGCCTGGCCTGGCACTGGAGCTCAGAGGAAGTGAGAGCTTATAAATTCAGTTCATGGTGCTGGCCTTTTAAGAAGAGCAGCTGGGTCTCCAGCAGCCTGTGTGTCACTCAGCCCCAAGCCACACTGGTTTTTACAGCCTGTAGTTCTTACTGCCCATAGGGACTTCTTTCCCCATATCTGGGATTCTGGGTAGGGCATCTTATGGGGGCTTCGACCCCTTACTCTTCCAGGTGGCCTCCTCGGAAGGAATCTCGCTCCCAATTAAGAAAGCAGCCCATGTGGGTGCCGGGCCAGCCCATTCCATGTCTCTGCACCTCCTACCAGTCTCTGTGTACTTTCTGGTGGTTCTGGATGATGGTTGTTCTGTATTTTAGTTGTATTTTTGATGTGGTTGTGGAAGGCAGCAAGTACAGGCATTTGCCTATGCCACCATTCTGGTTCTCCATATTTATTATTGTTGCCTTTGCACACATCCCAGTGTGAGATCTCCACTCTTGGTGCCCAATGGCTTCCTGTGTGCACTCTTAAAGTAGAAAAGGAAATGCTGGTTTCAATTCTGAAATGTGGCCTGTTTTCAGAGATATTTTTAAAATGCAGCAAATTTTTCTGCAAACCCGTTTAGCCGCCTTGATAAGCACCAGCCAAGCTGCAGCCTCCCAGGGCCCACTGTCTCTCGCCAGCAGGTAAAAAACTGCCAGTCCTTCCCCAAGGGGCACATGGCTCACAGTCTTGGGCCTTGGAGCTGCAGACCACACACCCTTTGGGGTCAGAATCCTCTGAAAGAGCTCATCAGTTTTTTTATTCATTAGATTCCACATATGAGTGAGATCATGTGATACTTATCTTTCTCTGATTGGCTTATTTTGCTTAGCATAATACTTTCCAGGTCCCTCCAAGCTACTGAAAATGGTAACACTTCTTGCCTTAGGGCACTATCAACTCATTTTCTCTCTGAGCCATTTGTATCTGTAAGTCAGTCTGCATGAGCAGCAACATGGATCCCACCTCCAAAAGGCCAATTGACTGTGTCCAGGGCATAGCAACACTGCCCTCCTGGGATGTCCTTTTGTATTTGCTCTCTATGAGCCTAACTGCTATGAACCCTCAAGCCCTTGTTCAATCTGACAACCTCCAGGAAATGTCCTCTCCTCTCCTGAACTCTTATGTGCTTCTCTATGCCAACACCTAGCATTAGAAGAATATGCAACATTCTGAGTTCGATTGGTAGAGGGAGCAGAGAGCAGACCCCAGAGAGCCCTGAGCAGCCCCATAGCCGCTGCTGGCCTAGTTACCATCACACCTTGGGAGGAGCTGCAGCTGTCACAGCTGGCTCTAGTACTATCACCGCACCCATGAGCAACGAGGCTGAAACCCAGCAGCCACCTGCCGCCCCCACCCTCCGCGCTGCCAACACCAAGTCAGGCATCACGGGCAGTGGCTCGGGAGCGGTGCCTGCCTGTGGGAACAAGAAGGTCATTGCAAGGAAGGTTTTGGGAACAGTAAAATGGTGCAATGTAACAAACAGATATGATTTCATCAACAGGAATGACACCAAGGAAGATGTATTTGTACACCAAACTGCCATAAAGAAGAATAACCCCAGGAAGTACCTTCACGGTTTAAGAGATGGAGAAACTGTGGAGTTTGATGTTGTTGAAGGAGAAAAGGGTGCGGAGGCAGCAAATGTTACAGGTCCTGGTGGAGTTCCAGTACAAGGCAGTAAATATGCAGCAGACCATAACCATTATAGATGCTATCCACATCACAGGGTTCCTCCAGGCAATTACCAGCAGAATTACCAGAATAGTGAGATTGGGGAAGAGAATGAGGGATCAGAGAGTGCTCCTGAAGGCCAGGGCCAACAGCGCTAGCCCTATTGCAGGCGACGGTTCCCACCTTACTACATGCGGAGACCCTATGGGCATCGACCACAGTATTCCAACCCTCCTGTACAGGGTGCAGTGATGGAGGGTGCTGACAACCCGGTGCAGGAGAACAAGGCATAGAGAACAAGAAAACATATACAGTGAGACAGTATATGGATTGGGGCTATAGACCACAATTCTGCAGGGGCCCTCCTCACCAAAGATAGCCTAGAGAGGACAGCAATGAAGAAGATGAAAATCAAGGAGATAAGATCCAAGGTCCTCAGCCACCTCAACGTCGGTACCGCCGCAACTTCAATTACTGATGCAGATTCCCAGAAAACCCTGAACCACAAAATGGCAAAAAGACAAAAGCAGCTGATCTACCAGCTGAGAATTCCTCAGCTCCCAAGACTGAGCAGGGTGGGGCTGAGTAAAAAATGCCGGCTTACCATCTTTACCATCATCCGGTTTAGTCACCCAACAAGAAGAAATATGAAATTCCAGCAATAAGAAATGAACAAAAGATTGGAGCTGAAGACCTTAAATGCTTGATTTTTGCCCATTGACCAGATAACTAGAACTATCTGCATTATTTATGCAGCATGGGGTTTTTATTATTTTTATCTAAACATGTCTCTTTTTGGTATTGACAAACATGTTTTTTTAAAAGAAAAAAAAAAAGCCTGGTTTTTCTCAATACACCTTTAAAGGTTTTTAAATTGTTTCATATCTGGTCAAGTTGAGATTTTTAAGAACCTCATTTTTAATTTGTAATAAAAGTTTACAGCTTGATTTTTTCAAAAAAGTCAACAAACTGCAAGCACCTGTTAATAATTGTCTTAAATAATTTAAAAAAGAAGAATATGCAACTTTCTTCTATAATTGTTAAACATGTTAATGTTCTGTCTCCTCATGTACACTGCAGCCTCCTCAAAGGCAGGGACTGTGATGGTGACATTTCTGCATTTATCACAAAACCTGGTACAGGGATGGGCACACAGTTCAGTATAAATTAAGTGTTTGATTTAGAAATTTCTAGAAAAAAAAAAGGCTTAACAGTGAGTCAGTCAGGTTATATAGATTAACCTAAGACTCCTGAATTATTAAGACATTGTTTGAGCAACTGCTAAGTGTAAAGCTCCCACCTGTCTTAGTGTGATAGAATGTCCTTGGCAAAAGATGCCCAAATCCCTTCTTCTGGCAAACCCAGAAAACACAATCTGTTTTCTAGTATGCTCTTCTTTGAATTTTATATACAAAATTCCACCTGGTCGTATCCTGGAGGCTGCTTGTCAGTGTGGCCTCTATGATCTGTGTTTCCTGCAGTGGGGATGGGTTTGCCGGGAGTCATCCATAAACTCATACTTGGGACACAATATTTATAAAAATGGCAGGTGATGCTAGAGATACAACTTGAAGGAAATGTCTAACTTCAACAGCAAACCTGGTGAAGTTCTAGTGAAAAATTACCCTAGTTTCTAAGGGTCTTCTTAAAGTAGGCAAGGAAATGTGCCCAGTGAGTAAGGGAGCTGGTGGGTATAGTTGACATGATCATGTAACAACGCCTGATGAGACTTCATATCAAGTACTACTGTGTTTCCCCGAAAATAAAATATCCTCCGAAAATAAGACCTACTTATAGGTTTCCTTCTGAGTGAAATATAAGGCAACCCCCCGAAAATAAGCCCCCCCTCCCCAGGCTCTGTCTCAGAATGAAAATTAATTTACCGAAAACTGGTTGTAGGGCCGCCCCGACTGGCATCTAAAAACAAGTGACATTACACAGAGTCCTGACATCACTGCTGTGTGGAGGCGAAGCAGAGGTCGGAGTGAGCGGTGAGCACAGGGCAGGAGAGAGGAAGAGACTTTCACAGATGCGTGTAGAAGAACAGGAGGATTAGAGAGGACAGGACACGGCAAAGGTGCTGAGTGCTGGTCTGTCTCTGGGACACTACCTGATGCTCTCGGCCGCCCTCATGATGACTGAAGGTTCTCAGTCAGTGGCAGACCCTGCTCCAGCCCAGATCCAGGCCCCAGCAAGCCCAGTGACAGTCCCCAGGCAGGCCCCAGGGGGTAAATGTCTGATAAAGGGGTAGGGGGGATGTCTGGTGAAGGTGTTCAGTGGCACAGGGGTGGGGGGAGGGGGATCACTTAAAATGAAACAGGAGGATCAGAGGGGGCAATCAAAATGACACAGGAGGATCAAAAGGGCTTACTAAAATGGTAATCTCCCCTCTGATTCTCCTGTGCCATTTTTATTCCCCCCTCTTATCCCCCCTGTGTCATTTTAAGTGATCCCCCTCCCTCCACCTTGATACACCAATTCCTTTTTTTTTTTTTTTTTTTTTTTTTTTACCCCTAGAAATGAGCGCAAAAAGAAAAAGCTACTCCGTGGAGTACAAGAAAGGAATTGTGGAAGACTCTTGGGGCCAAAATCTTACTGCTTTCTGCAAAGAGAAGATATTGAGTATCCGATTGGTCCAAAAATGGCGAGCAGAGTATGGTAACCTCATTGAACAAGTGGACAAGGGAAATGCTAAAAAGGGCAAGTGTGGATCAGGTCGGCAACCATTAGTTTCCGAGTTGGAAGACCTGATCTGTGAATGGGTTGTTGACAGGAGAGCAAAGGCTTTGGTTGTGAATAGGGCTCAGATTCAAGAATTTGCCTTTGCAATGGCATCACAGTTTGACATAGCCCCCGAAGACTTCAAAGCATCACAACACTGGCTGGATAATTTCCTTCAGCGAAGTGAACTGTCTTTAAGAAGATCTACAACATTGTTTAGGTTGGAAGATACTCAAGTTATTAAGTGAGCACTTGCATTTATTGATGATGCTGACTTCTCTAAATACAATCTTTCCAACATGATTGCTATGGATGAAACTGCAGTGTTTATGGGCCAATCATCTCAAACAACAATTGAACAGTGGGGTGCCTCCTTAGTGTACATTCCCTTCACTGCTTACAAAAGTGCATGTGTTTCCTGTATTTTGGCAATTCGGCTGGATGGCACTAAAATCCCACCTTTAATCATTTCTAAGGGCAAGAAGGAAAAGATTGAACGTGTTTTGGGCGTTTTTATTCTTGAAACTGAAAAAGCCTGGGCCACACAAGCAGTTATAAGGAAATGGGTCAATTTAATGCTGCCACTTGTTATGCGAGGGAGCCAAAGAGGTCTGCTAGTCTGGGATACAGCCAGCACTCACCGTGCTAAAGACATGAAGACATTTCTCCACGAAAGAAAAATAGATCAGACAATGATTCCCGCAGGAATGACGGCCTATCTCCAGACTCTTGATATTTTAATAAACAAGCCATTCAAAGAGAATTTGCGCATGGAAATTAATGACTACATTGAAAATAGAATGGAGAGAAATCAGTGTGGAAACTTTGTGAAACCTAAACTGCAAGAAGTTGTGACTTGGGTGAAGAATTCATGGGAGAAAATCACTGACAGTTGCATTGCAAATGCACTGTGAGCAGGCTACCTTGACAAGAAGTACTCATTGAAAGATAGTGCTATTGCTAAATATGAGAGATTTGGTCCACTGATTCTGAAAGAAATGGAGTCACAAGAAATTCACCAGGAAATTCAGGAATTGGATTGTTATAATGATGTTCCAGAAGATGATGACATGATTGTCATTAAATAAATAAGTAAATTCTTGATACTGTAGGATTCACAGTTTGTCTAGTTTGTGTTGACAACTACCATATTACTGTACCATATATAGGTAATAAATTTCCTTTATTTTCACTTAACAATAAATGTGTACCATATTTTTCTTTATGGAAAAATAAGACATCCCCTGAAAATAAGACCTAGTGCATCTTTGGGAGCAAAAATTAATATAAGACACTGTCTTATTTTCGGGGAAACAGGGTAATAGCATCTCTGTTGGAGACTATGGTCCCTGAAGATATGGAGTGGGTGAGGCATGCAACCCCATGTGAACTATGCTTAGGTGTCAAGGCCTTTCGCACAACTTCTACCTGGAATGGTCTCTCCTTCCACCCTTCATTACTAGCTCCTTCTTGTTCCTCAGGCCAATGTTAACTCCTCTGAAAGAAGCTCCCCCACCAATATTTCTTACATCAGCTTTCTCTCATAGCTTTTGCATTATTTTTAATTTTTTAAAAATGTTCTTTCACTCATATTGTGTCTATATCTCCATATACTTATATTTTTCTACATACTTAAGAATATAATAAGCTCCGGTGAAGACATGGCTATGTCTATTTTATTCAACACTCTATCCCCCACAGGACCGTGTATAAGTAGTGCTCAAAAAATTCTTGATATTATGATTATGAGTAAGTGTTACAGAATAGAAAACAAAGGAAATTTCAAATCAAATAAGCTGTGTTCCTGTTTCAGCTTAGTCATTTACTTGCAAATTGCTTAACCTCTCTGAACCTGTGTCCTCATTTTTATATGAATTAATATTACCTACCTCACAATACAGTTTGGAGGGAAAATACAAGCTAATGAATGAGAACATACTTGATAAAAGTAGAGTCCTGAACAAATATGAATTATTTTCATATTATGTGTTACCCAAAACAGTACCTTTGCTTTCTTCCTGGGATGCCTATCACAAGCACCAGATAACCCCATAATCTGTCACACCCTTGGATTAGTGCTATCTCAGAGACATAATAAATTGAAAACCATTGTGAAACGTTAGTCTGGGCATTTGAATTTATCATTACCTGGCAGAGAGCAGGTTCCTATAGGATGGGACAAGGATAGGCAGTCTCAAGAAGAGTGGTGATGGGAGGAGAATCCTGAAATGCCTTATGCTCAGAGGATTCTGGAGAATGAGTTCAGGCCAGGGGAGGGGGAAACTGCAGTGGGTGCCCTTGTGAAGCCATGACACTGAGTTGTTAGGCAGAGGAAAGACACAGAAAGGGAGATGGAAGTGCCAGCTGCAAACTTTCTCTCCTGGGCCTATGTGTATATAAAGGACACTTGATTTTACAGAATCCATGTGTGTACATT